TACTTGTGGCTTCTTTTGCGCTCTTTAGAAACCTATGCGTGACGTCACGGATACTACGTCCATATATTTTACAGTCTATGGTCACAATATGGACCACTGGAATACATTTTTAAATTAATTTAAATACAGTTTGACCACAAAACAACCTAGCATTTCTGGTCTAAATGAATCATAGAAAAACTGTTTTACTCTAATGTCTCTTTCACACCGCACAAGAGAGCAGAGTGTGATCAGCGCATGTTTGTTTTTTTTTGGCGTCCATGTTAACAGATTATGCCGATTATAGCACGATAGACTGCACGATTTTAGCCCTGATTTTGACTCACCGACAGGTTTTGAGAAATTGCCGACAAATGTCTGAAATCACAGGCAAATCTGTGCTAGTTCAGGTGAATAACAATCACACAGTATGAACTATCAAAGATGCGATATGAGAGAATCGTAGATGAGTTGCTGACATCCGCAAGATATTTGGGGTGCTAAATATCTGAAGCTGTCGGCGATTCAAATCATGCCGTGTGAAATGTTTTCTGATTGAAAATAACATCAGTGATCACCTACAGCCAATGAGAGAGCAGCATTCACTAGTATGGTACCTGCAGTCCAGTAAGGTTGAGGGAGAAGTTAAAAGAATTTATTTTCAGTTTATTTGAACCCAAGAAATTAAGGAAAAACCAGTGTAAATTTGGCAGGAGCACCCGTATCTATATGACGTGTCATCTGACCAATATCACAATCAGGTCAAAAAGTGAAAAAAAGTTGAGCAGAAATTGTTATTTCCCTTCAAAAGCCAGATAAGCAATACAAGTTTCAAAAGCTTAAGCCTTCCTTTTCCATTATGTAGCTAATAACGAAATATATATTACGTGATCTGCGTTGTTTGCATGCCTCTTCTCACATTTGTTTGGTTGTGAGACGTAGTTTGGAAAGTTGTCTGTGATTCTCCCTATTTTAAAGTCATGCAGTGTGAACTCTCCTGTCGCCGATCCATCCTACAGTGTAAACACATCACCGACAGAACACTAACCCAGATAGTCATGCAGTGTGAAAACATCCGTGATGCAGCTACTTTAAAAATCATGCAGTCTGAACTTGGCATTAGAGCTTTCATATCCCATGCAGAAGTAGCGTGCCAATGTGGAGCTTGAGCAGTGCTGAAACAGTGGTGTCATAATCATTTTGGCGCTGGGTCTACTTTTACAACGCTGCCCATGCTCAGTTAAAGTGACACATTGAATGACAGTAAAAAGTAGCAATTGTACCCGATAAATGCATTAATAATATCCACAGATTTTTATATAGTCAATCAATTAAACATAAATGACTGAAAAAAATGCAAAGATATTTGTTTGAGCCCAAATTACTAAACCAAATTTAAAACAACTTTAGTATTAGTTTTACTGAAGCTGCACACTAGTTTGACCATGTACAGTTGAAGTAAGAATTATTAGCCCCCCCCTTTTCTTTTCTTTTTTTTTTTATATTTTCCCAAATTATTTTTTTTCTTTTTTTTTTTTTTTTTACATTTTCCTAAATGATGTTTAACAGAGAACATTTTATGTCTGATATTTTTTTTTCTTCTGGAGAAAGTCTCACTTGTTTTATTTCGGCTAGAATTAAAGCAGTTTTTATTTTTTTAAAAACAATTTTTAGGTCAAAATGATTAGCCTAATCTGCCTAGTTAACCTAATTAACCTAGTTAAGCCTTTAAATGTCATTTAGGCTCTATAGAAGAATCTTGAAAAATATCTAGTCAAATATTATTTACTGTCATAATGGCAAAGATAAAATAAATCAGTTTAGAAATGAGTTATTAAAACTATTGTGTTTAGAAATGTGTTGAAAAAATCTGCTCTCCGTTAAACAAAAAATTGGGGAAAACCCCACCCCATGAAATACATTTAGTTATTTAAATCTTTGTAATGAAATCTGTTTTGTTATTGCTATTTTAGACAGCAAACCTAATGAGTCTTATAAATTACATTTATAGTTTTCAATTATTTAAAATTTACCTCTTCTTTTAAATCTTTTTTGGGTAAGGATATTTGGTTAAATAAACCATTCATCCCTGTCCAATCAAAACAGAGCTGAATTTATTACCTGAGCTCTGAATATAAAGTCATATCGCAATGAATGATATTCACATTATTCCTCACATATCTTTTTACCTGCCTAAAATTGATGATATTCTATCCAATAAAAAGTTGTGATATTACCTATACGACCAGTATATGTCAGCAGGCGCCTCCTAAGTAGGACAGGTTAAAGTGGTGTCGTTTCTCATAAGGAACATAATGAAAGGCGACACAGCTCATATGTTGAGCACGGGGAAGAGACATGGCATGAATAGTTGGAGTGGTGCTTCTGGAATATTTGCTCCAGTGATGGGTACTCAGGCATCAGAAACGGCCTCTTTAACACTCTCTTTATTGGTCCTTTTCCCGGCACCTGCAGCCAGAGCGTGACATTTCTGCCACATTTTGAGCTCCGTGTCAATAGCAAGTGAATTTAATACCGTTAAATAGACCACATGGCTCAGCAAACTGCCTGTCTGATCATTTTTCCGAGACACATTGAGTGACCATGGTGTCTTTCAGCAACATTATATGAAGGTCTTACAGGAAATGAATATGGAATGAAATATATATATAAAGAGGTCAGAGATGCAAAGGGGGTTTCAAGAATTGAAAAGAAGAGTCATATATATACTGCAATACACCTTAGATTATGTTTTGTTACATCAGAATTTGTCCTGTAACCATTTAATTTTATTGTTTGTACCAAACATTTTAAGAATGCATCCAGTAATCAGAGTAACAATAGTATATATAACAAAATGCAGACCTAAAAATGTATACAGGGCTCAGCATAACTGAGTACACCTCATTTTGAAAATGAAGATTTGTATCCATTTCTCAATGAATATAGACAATGTATTTTAGTATATTTAAACAAAGCAGTTATAAAACAGATATATTTATTAAAATAATATTTTAGTCACCAAACATATGTAGAAATTGAAAGATAATACAATTAAATTCAAGCGAAATATTTTTAAAAATAAATAATAATAATACAACCAACAAAATTTCAACAAAAAAATTATATGTTTTTGTTTCTCTTTATGTTTCCTCTTTTTAAATTTGTATTTAATATTTTTCTATAACATATAGATTTTGGTGTACTAGTTTTTGGACTGTTATAGCAAGTTATTTGGTTAGTTAAGCTCCAGACTTGGCTTCAGTACTTATTAATCTAATGTATATCAAAAATATTATATTGCAAAGCTTCCCATTAAAACATGAATTTAAAAATGACTGAACTTATGCTGAGCACTGAATATTTAAGTCTTTATATTGTGCAGTCCTTAATCCCATTATACAATTTGTCAGCAAGAAGTTGTTAATCATTTAAAATATAAGCAAATGCCATTTATTCATTTATACATTTTTAATAAGCACATGCCAAAGTGTTGTTTCAATTTGACTTAAGTGTGTGTCAAAACATTATATATACAATAAATTAATATTCAACACATAATTCAACATTTTATTGACATAAAGCTTATTTGACACATTCAAAAAACACATTTGTTTCTTTGTCTCTTAATTTTGACACAAAATAGTCGAACATAGATTGTCATCAGTGCATTAAATATACTTTAGAATAAAATGAACCCATGCATTTTTAAATTCCAGCCAGTATTTATCTTCTACTAGTCATTTTTTTCAAAGGGGAATTAAGATGATCAAACAATAATGACCTATAATTATTTTTCCTCATTAACTTAATATGTTTGAATCTGTTTATTGTCTTCATCAACACTTATAATAATCCCTAACTTTCTAAACTAAAGTTGAAGCCAGAATTATTAAAACCCCTGAATTATCACCCCCCCCCCTGTTTATTTCCCCCCCCAATTTCTGTTTAACAGAGATTTTTTCAACACATACTCTCTAAACATACTAGTTTTAATAACTCATTTCTGTATTTTATATTTGCCATAATGACAGTAAATAATATTTTACTAGATATTTTTCAAGACATTTCTATAGCTTAACTTTAGGTTAACAAGGTAGGTTGGGGTAATTAGGCAAGTAACTGTATAAAGATGGTTTGTTCTGTAGACTATCAAAAAATATATTTACCTTAAAATGTTTTTTTTTTTTTTAATTAAAAAGATAAACAAATAAGACTTTCTCGAAGTAAAAATATTATCAGACATACTGTGAAATTGTCCTTGCTCTGTTAAACATCATTTGGGAAGTATAAAAATAACAACAACTATAATAATAATAATAATAATAATTCAAAGGGGGGTTAATAATTCTGATTTCAGCTGAACGTGCAGAATTTGTGTAAGCACATTGCAAGTTAAAAATAATAAAAAGGTGCTTAAGATGGGTGTGTTTACATGCATTATTGTCAATAATTACTTGTGCATAATATTATATAGGTGCTATAAATGTTCTGTGCATCACCATATATCTTATATGGAGTTGTCTGGATATTTACAGCAGCCATGTCCAGGTTCACATATAAATCAAGACATTTTGACTTTGATTTATGGCTGACAACTCTGCATGAAACACATCGAACCCTTCAAATGTTTGTCATAAATGCCAAAGAAATAAATAAAAAATATATTCATTAAAAAAAAAAAAAAAAAAAAAAACAGATCTTTACTGACCACAGTATGAGATAATATGGAGGTCTCGTCCTGCTTGACAGTGGGGGGAATAGCGGACACAGAGGCTTAACGCCAAGCAGCATTATTTATTTTCAAGTTCAACCTCTATCCATCACCGTGTTACCACCCTGTCCAGTTCGGGCGCTAACGCCACATCTTAAAGCTTATTACGACGACCCACCTTCTTCAGAAATATGATTGACGTTTCGTGGAAGAAGCGAGGCGGGGCCACAATTATGCTCTCGTCCAACCACGTTCGAGGGGCGGCGCGCGAGCGCTGTGTGCCAGTGTTGGTGGGCGGAGCCCTCCGCTATGTGTCAGTGTTGCCAGCAGACCTGTGCGAAACAAAAGCACTTCTCTCCCCACGTTTAACGCCTTCAAAGCACGTCTCAAAGCTGTTTGAGTCGTAAAGCTGTCAAAGGAAACAAGGAGTTACGCGGCAGAGTCGCAGATTACGCACGATTACAGCAGCCCTTAGACAAAGTTGGGCTCTGTTGTCTTGGCTTTGGTGGCAAGAGCAGGAGTGGCTTGATCCTAAAGCAGCTCTCCAGATCAGATTTCACCCAAACCAGCTGTGCGAGAGGGAGCATTGCCTTTTCTCCCCTGTCTCCCTCTCTCCATGTTGTAAGCGCGCTTCAGACACCCAGAAAGCAAAAAAGGGGGGAGTGACGGAGAGAGTTTGCCGAAGGAATTTCCTTTCTCCCAGGCGAAATCTGAAAAGTCACTAGAGTCTCCAAAACAGCGGCGAGGATGGATGACCAGCCCCGGTTGATGCACTCTTCTCACGGGGTGGGCATGGCCGGACACCCCGGCTTGGCGCAGCATATGCAGGATGGCACGGGAGGAGCGGACGACGAGGGAAGAAAACAGGACATTGGAAACATATTACAGCAAATCATGACCATAACCGACCAAAGTCTGGACGAGGCGCAGGCCAGGTATGTTTCCGAGATCTTATGCATGCTGTCTTAGCTTTATTAACTTCGTGGACAGTGTTAGCAAGTCAGCTGGGTTATATTTTTACGCGCCACCCCAATGCGCACCGACTTTTCTTTTTGCGTCTTTTTTCAAACTTTTATCAATTTTGCACAAGAAATATGCTTTTCCCGTGCGCCTTTGTGCACATTATGTGCTCTTCTTCTTCTTCCTCCCAGATGCATCGTTTCGATTTCCAATTGCTCTGGATCTCGCAGGTTACAAATGAGAAAAGCGCATTGATTCGGTGCCATATAGACTTACTACATGTTGCGGGTGGATTCAGTCCTAGTTTATTTATTTATTGGACTGCAAGCACCTTATGTTTAAGCCAGGGAATAAATGGTAATGATTTTTGGATACTTACAAATTATTAATCGTCAGAAAGTCCATAACTGTGCAGTGTTTACGTATAGCTTGATTGTGTACAGAAGGGACGCCGTAAAATACTTTCTTTAGAGTAACGTATCTACTTGTAGCATTTAAAAGCAATTAGACAGTCTGATGAAGTGTTGACAAGAAATAATTCACCTGACCGTTAGCCTTAATTAGCAACTGTCAACACAGGTGTTTTTAAAAGACTGAGATAAATGCAAACATTTCAGTTTTCAAATAATACTTGAACCTGCAAAATAATAGTAATAATAATAATAATAATAATAATAATAATTAAATAAAATAAAAATACATTAATAAAAACTACATGTGAATGTCTAAATTGCATTTGACACTCTTGTACTGATGTCAATAATATCTGTGGCTATTTTTTTTATTAATATTTTACTTCTGATGAATGATTGATTGCCACCTTAAATTAATATCTGATATCTTGAATGAATATCTTAAGCAGCTATGTTATTTATATTTATGATTCTATATTAATTAATAAAATAATATGTATATATATATATATATATATATATATATATATATATATATATATATATATATATATATATATATAATTTATTTATTTAAAGGAAGTAATTTAACTTTATTTTATAATTGGGGTTTAATGTTTATTTATTAGCTTTCTTCTTTTTTATTTACCAATTTAGTCAACAAATATTTGGTATTAATGTAATTTGCAGTCAACTTCAATCCATGCTTATGATTATATATGGTTTAATACTTTTACATTTTTTATTTTTTTATTTTTATAATATTTTATTGTATTTTTTATTTTATTTTCCTTAAAGATTGCTAGTCACTTTAGATGAGCAATTCATGGTGTTTAAAAGTGAGTTCACTTTGGAGTCAAATTCATTTAACTCTTTACTGTAATGCAATTATTGTATATAGCTTAATATTTACTTTAATATGTAAAATTATTATTATTACTATTATTATTATTATTATTATATTTTTTATTTAAAATTAAGTAGCTTTTTATTTTAAATAAGATGTGTAATAATTATTTTACTTTGCTATTTTCTTCAGTCCCCTCTTATATTGAAATGAAACAATGTTTTAATATCTAATGATGTCATTATTTGTTGTTCTATTTTCTCATCCCATGAGTATACAATGCTAATTCCATATTTCAGTCTACTTCATTCATTCTGCCATCTAAGATTCATTTGAAACATCCTGACAGTTATTTTTTTGCTCATTTAACACATGCATCACTTCCAAAAAGTGCTACACAATTTAGAGGCATTTGTCAGCTGTCTTCTATCAAATACCATTTTTTAAAATACTCCAAAACGCATTTCCATCAGACATAGCAGACATTCCTTCTAAGCCTAATGTCTGTGTTTTGACAGCTCTGACAGTTCATGCACAGTGACGGCGTAGTATTTATTTTCTGTTTGTGTTTTTAGGAAGCATGCGCTGAATTGTCACAGAATGAAGCCGGCTCTGTTCAACGTCCTGTGTGAAATAAAAGAAAAAACAGGTGGGTTTTCCTCTCTCACAATGAGAACAGAACTTTGCTTTGTTTAAATCCAGTTATCACATTAAGCGGGATATTGAAATATTGATTTTTTTTTGTGCTACACAGCTCTTTAATACAGTGATATATTGCGTGTCTTGTGAGAATCTGTGTTATTAGATATTTAGATAGAGGAGAATTTGTAGTTAGAGTCAAGACTGCACCTTGTCAAAGTTCTGATATTACAGTAATAACAGAACAATTCCTGTTGTGATTTATTCTGCATTTAGATTCCTCAAATAGATAGCTATTATTATTATTTTGTGTGCTAGGGTTATAATTTGTGCATCAGAGCTGAAGTGCATTACTTAATGCAGCATTTTACATTGCATTGTATCATATACTGATTGAGCGTGACTGATTAGGTTTAGTATAGAAATATTAGGTTAAAAAATATGACCGCTCTACTCATTAAATTGAGATTTTGAGTGTTAACTTTAGAAGTCACGCATCCTTCTTTTAATATGCTTAACTTTAGTGTGACAGTTTTGGGTACACATGTAATATTACAATTTTATGTCTAGCTTACACTGAATAAATAAATAAATCAATAAATATATTCACATTGCTTTCTATAATAAGTAACTATGCAATACATTAAGTTAATTATTTTAAAACTTAAGATTGTAATATATTACATTTTTACTCAACATTTTACCTTTATTTGTTTATTGATATTATTTTTGCTGCCCTGTACAGTGAGTTGCCGATTGTAAATTGTTAATGTATGCATTTTGTAGTTTTAGAATTGTAGCTGCTCAAGCAAAGTGCTTTAATAGCAGTTTAAAAGTCCACCAGAAGCGCTATTCATTAGGGCGAAATGAACATGCTGTTTTGATTATGCGATCGTCCCTGAGTGAAGGTTTTCAAGGTAGATTGCTATAACGAGAAACAACAACAAATGTCAAAAAAAAAAAAAAAAAAAGCAGCCGCATCTTCCTACTAATTAGCCCCAAAGTGTAATTTACAAAGATTTCATTACATGGAAGCTGAAGCTGGCTTTCTGCCACACTGTCTGAAAGCAGCAGTGCTGTGGAGAAGTTCCCCCTCCTCAGTGCAACTCTGAGCGAATGAAGAGGCTTTGCAGGGCCACCGTGTCAGCGATCACAGGAGCCTCATGGCACTAGCTTTGCTTTTTTCCTCCTCTTGTTTAGCAAGGTTCTCCGAGGAGGGAAAGAGTTATGCCTAGCTCTTTTGAACTGCTTGGCGTCACCCGGGGTTCACTCAAAGTTCGTTTCCAAGATGAAGAACAAAGTGACTTGGACCTCTTCCTGGCTTTTTGCTCCTGCTTCTCTTCCCACAGTTCCTGGCAAATGGGAACCTGCGGGGTTTTAGACTGGAGAGATAAACCCAAATAGGCTGTGTTAGATGTTGAAGATGGTACTTTTTTATTGAGTTCGAATCCTGTGCGTGAATTAGTTGCTTGTTTGTTTGTTTTGCCTACTTTGTATTAGATTCTTTTTCCCCTAAACACACACACACACACACACACACACACACACACACACACACACACACACACACACACACACACACACAAGCACCTCATGTTGAGCTTTTGTTTGTAGTTGAACGCAGCCCTGGTGTTGTTTTTGTCTCGTGTGAACTTCCTCGGTTATGACGTGGTTGCTTCTTTTCTCTCAGGACTTCATTAGGAGCAGCGGATCATCAGAATCAAACCTACTTGCATTTGATCTGCGTTCCTATGACAAATTAACATTAGCTGATTTCTGGTTTGTTTTCTTTTCGGGCTGAAAACCTGAAAAAGTTAGGGCTTTCCATTTGTTGAAAGAAGCGAAGGAAAGGAAGGAGTCTTGTCAAGCAGAATAGGACTTTTTGTGCTTGATATTATGTATAAATGGGTCAAAGATGAAAATTATTGGAGATTGGCTGCAGATCTTTACAGATTTAATTTTATTTCTAGTACATTAGAACTGCTTAAGTTTTTTTTCAACTCAACTATGACTTCCATACATTTTACCATGATTTAATGAAGACACACAATATTTCATTGTGACAATGATTTACAGTTGAAGTCAGTATTATTAACCCCCCTTTATTTTTCCCCTAATTTCTGTATAACAGAGAGAAGACTTTTTCAACACATTTCTAACCATAATAGTTATTAAACCATTAAACCATAATAGTTTTAATAACTCATTTTTAATAACTGATTTGTGTTATCTTTGCTATGATGACAGAAAATCATATTTGACTAGATATTTTTCAAGACTCTTTTATTTAGCTTAAATTGACATTTAAAGACTTAACTAGGTTAATTAGGTTAACTAGGCAGATTAGGGTAATTAGGAAAGTTATTGTATAACGACGGTTTGTTCTGTAGACTATTGACTTTTTTTTTTTTCATAGTTTTAACCTTAAAATGTTTTTTTATTCTAGCCGAAATAAAACAAACAAGACTTTCTCCAAAAGAAAAAATATATATATATTATCAGACATACTGTAGAAATTGTCTTGCTCTGTTAAACATCATTTGGGAAGTATTTAAAAAGAGAAAAATAATTTAAAGGAGGTTCAATCATTCTGACTTCAACTGTATATACCAAAAAAAATATGTATAGCAGATGCTTTACTTTGCTTTCTGTGTATATAAATTGACTTTTGTACATTTAATTTGATGCAGACACCAAAATGCTGCCTCTCATCTTTGACCCAAATGTAATTTGTTTTATATGCACCATCAAACATTCAGCCACAAACATTTGCAAACTATTTTTGCAGTTTTATGAGCCCTAGCTTGGGAATTGACAGAGGGAAAAAAGGATTTTTGATGCTTTTTAAGTGGATGCTATTGATAGTAGCCTGACTGTGACTTAAGAAAACACTCTGAAAATAGAAAGCAAATAGAGTCTGTTTTTAGGTGTCAGTTTTTATACTGCTGAAAACGCTGTCGGCAACATGGTTTGAAAATAAATGAACTCAAGCCCCGACGGTTGATTTGAAAGGTCCTTGTACATTAAACCCCCCCTTCCGTTCACTCTCCTGCAGAATTAGCCGTGAGCTGTACCTCGGTTCACTTCTGTCTCTTTTTAATGCGAGGGTGTAATTTCACACTGCACAGACAGACACCACTAAAAATCCACCGCCGCCACCGAGAAAATGGCTCAAACCTCCGCCGTGACATTTACTGCAAATGTGCTGAGCGCTCAAACGAGAGCAGCCACCATTTTTTTTTTTTTTTTTTGGCCAGGCCCTTTTTAATTTTTCTGTTTTTTTTAATAAAGACTCAGCCTTGTTCACACTTTTACATTGTTGCAGCCACTGAGTCCCAGGTGGATTCCAGAAAAGCGAGGTTATTAAATCCGTAGCAGGTCTGTTTTGTTGAAATGGCGTAGCGTGCTGCGTCTTGGCTTTCATAACAGACTGTGGAGGTCATGAAACAGTGGCTCTGTGTTTTGAAAGAAATACACTTTTTCTGCTCACAATAACCTTGATTTACAGGAATCTTTAATGTTTTGATCAACGCGTTGTCACCTGCTTTAAACGCAGCTCGTAATTCCTATTAAGTTTCTTCAACATGAACTATAAATTTTTGCTCTGCTAATATATTTCATCTGCAGACGTGTTGAGAGAGCACCAAATGACACGGCTCCTGTAATTCTTGGTAACCTGCGGGTCAGCTCGCCTAGATTGACGTGGCAGTGAGTTTGCCCGGTGCGCAGCACGTGTTGCGTGGCGTGTTGACAGCCATGCGGGACGACGGCGTGGTGATGTGCCCTCCTCTGGCAAGCAGCTGACAAGCGGGGCAGTACGGTGTGCCAGCAGCAGACAGAGCTGGCCTGAACTTCTGACCTCGCTGTGTATTTTTACACAGGGCCTGACCGACTAACACGACACAGGCTGGCGTGCGAGTATAAACAAGTATTGCGGCTCATGGAACAGGATGCAATGCGGGGAGGGGGCTTTTAAACAAGGCTGTTTTAGCGCCGCAAGTGTTTCAGATTATTTAAAGCGTTCGTATAGCCTCGTGTAGTTTGCTGCATGCTCAATGCAAGGCCACTGTGTGAGTGTGTGTGTGAGTGTGTGTGTGTTTAAAATTGGTGACTGGCACATATAGATGGATGTGTGCGGAATGGACATTAAGTTTGATGTTTGTTGGTATCGGGTTTCAGTCATGTTTTTACCCTTGGGGCTTTCATCAGGCCTGTTACTCTTGGACATACACTACCCGATCGTGAACAGACGTTTGTTAAATAAACTTAAACTTAAGTTGAACTCGCTGAACTGTAGAGGGTCAGTGAAAAACGATTTTCCCATGCAGCAGAAAGGAAAAGACTGTATTAGTTCAATGTTAAAATGTTTAGATCACCTTTAAGTTTAATGAATACATCGCTGTGGTGTACTGTAGCTTTTATGTAACTTATTTTTCTAAAAATGTATATATAGTGGAGTTTGCATAATTAACAAAAAGTGATATATTTTAATATGTTCTGGATTGTATTTGATAATGATATCATTATTATATAACATTAAGCTAAATCATTAAAGGTTATGTACAGAGTGCGAATTACAGTGGGGATTTAAGGGGTCTGACCCCCCTAATTAATGCTTGATCCCCCTGAAGGACATCAGAACAAGATGTTTGGGGGTTAGCCCTGTAATAGTTAGGAAATAGTTTGCTCTGATCTGTATACAAATTAATATTAATAATTAAAATAATAGATAACTTTATTATACATTTGACCACCCCTAATATGGTTCATACCATTGTGAATGGATGTTTGCACCAAAAATATTTATTCATCAGTGTGAAACTAGCAAATCTAGAGCACCAACAGACAGTGTAGGTGTTTACAAAGTGAAGTTTATTTATAAACTAATTTCGAGAGGATCATGTGCTGTTCTCAGCTGTTCCCGCATGATCGATTATCTAATTGGATGATTTCTTACTCATTATAATGTACCATGTAACCAGAGTTTCTTATCTTAGTATGTTTTCTTAA